GGCTTGCTACGCTAACCCTTCTCTTCTTTGCTGGTATTTAGCGATAACATTACTGCCCCCTAGTGGTGAGTAATTTTTTTTTTTTTTTTTTTACTACCAAAACTGACAACAGCGCTAGCAAAACTAGCCTTTTTATTTCATTAGTCAAACCTCGACCTGGCTAGCTACGCTAACACCCGCAGCTTTTTTTCTTCATTGGTCTTTAGCGGCAGATTACTGCCCCCTAGTGGGGGGTCAAACTTTTTTTTTTTTTTTTTTTTTACTACCAAAACTGACAACAGCGCTAGCAAAACTAGCCTTTTTATTTCATTAGTCAAACCTCGACCTGGCTAGCTACGCTAACACCCGCAGCTTTTTTTCTTCATTGGTCTTTAGCGGCAGATTACTGCCACCTAGTGGTGAGTCAAACTTTTTTTTTTTTTTTTTTTACTACCAAAACTGACAACAGCGCTAGCAAAACTAGCCTTTTTATTTCATTAGTCAAACCTCGAGAAGGCTAGCTACGCTAACACCCGCAGCTTTTTTTCTTCATTGGTCTTTAGCGGCAGATTACTGCCCCCTAGTGGTGAGTCAAACTTTTTTTTTTTTTTTTTTTTTACTACCAAAACTGACAACAGCGCTAGCAAAACTAGCCTTTTTATTTCATTAGTCAAACCTCGAGAAGGCTAGCTACGCTAACACCCGCAGCTTCTCTTCTTCGTTGATCTCTAGCGGGCACATTACTGCCCCCTAGTGGGGAGTCAAAATTTTTTTTTTTTTTTTTTTTTTACTACCAAAACTGACAACAGCGCTAGCAAAACTAGCCTTTTTATTTCATTAGTCAAACCTCGAGAAGGCTAGCTACGCTAACACCCGCAGCTTTTTTTCTTCATTGGTCTTTTGCGGGAGATTACTGCCACCTAGTGGTGAGTCAAACTTTTTTTTTTTTTTTTTTTTTTTTTACAAAAAAAACTGTCAACACAGATATCGGAAAGTTAGCACGGCGCTGCAGCCTTGACTTCCTGTCCGACCTCCGACCTCCGACCCCACTTACGACGATGTCCTGTCGCGTCTTGAAGGTTCCGATGTAGTGGGCGTAGTGCAGGTCGTCCATCTGCTTCAAGATGGCCGTCATGCAGGCTAGGTAGTGGCCCTGTGGCGACATCAGAATCTGACGTTCAGTCGCGTTCGCAGCGTTATTAGAAGTTTTTTAGAAATTTTTTTTTTTCTTACGATCAGAGGCGACGATCTGTCCATGCCGATGACGGTGCGATTTACCCGGCGGAGAAGTCGCTCCATGATCAGCTGGACGTGGCCCCGGGTCGGACCCTGTGGAGACGGAACGGTCGGTCGGCGTTAGCGAGTTAGCATCGCGAATCGGCCGACGGCGATCGACGCTAACGATTTATCTTCAAAAAAAAAAAAAAAACTGGTAGGGATGTCAGACAGAGGTCAACAGACAAAGGACAGAAGACAGAGGTCAACAGACTGAGGTCCACAGAATGAGGTCAACAGATTGAGGTCAACAGACAGTGGCCAACAGACTGAGATCAACAGACAGAGGTCAACAGACTGAGATCAACAAATTGAGATAAACAGACAGCGGCCAACAGACAGCGGTCAACAGACAGAGATAAACAGACAGAGGTCAACAGACAGTGGTCAACAGACTGAAACCGACTGAGGCCAACAGACAGTGACCAACAGACAGAGATCAACATACAGAAATCAACAGACAGAGGGCAACAGCCAGTGGTCAACAGACTGAGATCAACAGACTGAGATCAACAGACAGTGGCCAACAGACAGTGACCAACAGACAGCGGCCAACAGACAGAGGTCAACAAACACAACAGACAGAGGTCAACAGATAGTGGTCAACAGATAGTGGTCAACAGACAGAGGTCAACAGACAAAGCTCAACAGACAGAGGTCAACAGACTGAAGTCAACAGACAAAGATCAACAGACAGTGGCCAACAGACAGAGGTCAACAGACAGAGGTCAACAGACAGTGGTCAACAGATAGTGGTCAACAGACAGAGGTCAACAGACAAAGCTCAACAGACAGAGGTCAACAGACTGAAGTCAACAGACAAAGATCAACAGACAGTGGCCAACAGACAGGGATCAACAAACAGAGATCAACAGACAGAGGTCAACAGACAGAAATCGACTGAAGTCAACAGACAGAGGTCAACAGACTGAAGTCAACAGACAAAGATCAACAGACAGTGGCCAACAGACAGAGGTCAACAGACAGAGGTCAACAGACAGTGGTCAACAGATAGTGGTCAACAGACAGAGGTCAACAGACAAAGCTCAACAGACAGAGGTCAACAGACTGAAGTCAACAGACAAAGATCAACAGACAGTGGCCAACAGACAGAGGTCAACAGACAGAGGTCAGCAGACAGAGGTCAACAGACAGAAATCGACTGAAGTCAACAGACAGAGGTCAACAGACTGAAGTCAACAGACAAAGATCAACAGACAGTGGCCAACAGACAGAGGTCAACAGACAGAGGTCAGCAGACAGAGGTCAACAGACAGAAATCGACTGAAGTCAACAGACAGAGGTCAACAGACTGAAGTCAACAGACAAAGATCAACAGACAGTGGCCAACAGACAGAGGTCAACAGACAGAGGTCAGCAGACAGAGGTCAACAGACAGAAATCGACTGAAGTCAACAGACAGAGGTCAACAGACTGAAGTCAACAGACAAAGATCAACAGACAGTGGCCAACAGACAGAGGTCAACAGACAGAGGTCAGCAGACAGAGGTCAACAGACAGAGGTCAACAGACAGTGGTCAACAGATAGTGGTCAACAGACAGAGGTCAACAGACAAAGCTCAACAGACAGAGGTCAACAGACTGAAGTCAACAGACAAAGATCAACAGACAGTGGCCAACAGACAGGGATCAACAAACAGAGATCAACAGACAGAGGTCAACAGACAGAATCATACCATGACACTAGGTGGCAGTATAGCACATTAAAATACTCCTTCCACAGACAGACAAACCGACAGTTGTTTTTTTTTTTTTTTCCCGCCCCAACAGTTTCGTCCGTAGAGAGAGACAAAAAAAAACCAACCGACCAATCCGACGGTCAACTCACCACGTCCTTGCGGTCCAGGTGGTCCAACACGGTGCTGAGCAGCTGGACACAGGCCTCGTAGTCCGACCGACAGGAGCGGTCGTCCAGCTGTCCACTCAGCTGGTCGGCCACCAGCGGCAGCAGGACGTCCCGACAATCTGCGATAAAATAAAAAAATAAAAAAAAAAAATTTTTTTTTTTCTTACTTCCGATGACGTCGGGAAAAAAAAAAAAATTTTTTTTTTTACTTCCGACGACGAGGTTGAAAAAAAAAAAAAAATTTTTTTTTTACTTCCGAAGACGACATCGAAATATATATTTATAAAAATATATATATATTTGACGTTGTCGTTGGAAGCAAAAGAAAAACATTTTTTTTTTACTTTTTTTTACTTCCAACGACGACGACGTCAAAAAAAAAAAATTTTTTTTACTTCCGCAGACGACGTCGAAAAAAAACATTTTTTTTTTACTTCCGAAGACAACGTCGAAAATAAAAAAAAAATTCATATTCTTATATATATTTATATATATATACAATTTTTTAAAAATATATATTTATTTAGAAAAAATATATATTTTTTTGGTTTACTTCTGACGACGTTGTTGAAAAAAAAATTTTTTTTTTAACTTCCGAAGATGACGTCGAAAATAAAAAAAAAAAATATTTATATATATATTTATATATATATATTTTTTTAAATATATATTTATTTAATTTGTTTTTTATATTTATTTTATTTTGACGTCGTCGTCGGAAGTAAAAAAAAAAAAAATTTTTTTTTTACTATTTTTTAATTCCAACGACAACGTTGAAAAAAAAAAAAATTATTTTTTTACTTCCGAAGACGACGTCGAAAAAAAAAAAAATTTTTTTACTGTCAAAGACGACGGCCAAAATAAAAAAAAATTATATCTTTATATATATTTATATTTATTTTTTTTTAAATATATATTTATTTAAAAAAAAATATATATATATATTTTTTTTATTTCTG